TGACCAGGTACTTCAGTTCGATGATGGGGCTGTCGATATTTTCTGGACTATCGATGGTTGTTAATGAGACCATGCATGGTGTTGCATTGGTATATTATTATAATTTAAACAATATGATGCTTAGTTTAAAGTGTGGTCGTGTGTAAGACTTTAACAAAATATATAGCAGTGGAATGGATTGTTGTGTATGATAGCTGTAGATGTGTATTGCAACAGAAGGTTGCCTCAGAAAGTAGGAACAACAGAAGGTTGCTCCTCAAGTGACTTCCGTTGGCACCGAGTTAACCCGATCTGAATAAAATCCAGTGTGTTTCGATTCACATCTCCAAATTAGCCTCATTAATAAATTTGGCTAGTTTTCTAAAAATAAAAGGCTCATTTGCGAGCAATAGCTCCTTAAGTTCTTTAAAGCAATAAAAATTGTTATATATTTTCCAGATAATAGCATGTCGTTGGCATGAGAAGATTTCATGTTACGCATTGTCGAGAACGCTGCAAACTTCGCAAATGTTGGTGTTTCTGACTTTGATTTTGTGTAAAAGATCGTTATCATAGGTTCGATTAATTAACAGTCTATTTATGACCTTTATGTTTTTTGCACTCCAGTCGAGAGCCCAGTGTCATGGTTTGACTGAAATTTCATTGTAAATTTACGCAAAATAAATTCCTTTGGTGTTTGAACTCATTGTTCCAATCCGTCTAAACTTTTATTTTAACTTTTCTTATTACTTCATCGAATGTTAGGGGCAAATTAAATAGTTTGCCTACATTAGTGGCTGATTTGGCTGGTATATCGGTATTTTCATTAATGGCAATGTTCTTGTGACCGGGTATCCAGTGCACAATAAAGTTGCTCGTGAAGGAATTGTCCATGTTGAGGTGGATTTCGTCTGTTAAGTATGAATTTGATTAATTTCTCTTCAGAGCCTTTAAGGCGCCTTGACTATCGCAGAGAATTACAGTTTTGCTGTATCTTTTTATATTAGATATCTTAACTGCCGTCAATACTGCGTTTATAATATGGATGAGGAATTATAGCTATAGCTATTGCTTCTAGGGTAATCTAGGATACCTACACTATTTCCACCATCGATGGTGGGCACTATCGATGTTTGGCCAGCCCGAGTTTCCTGCGGCACTATCGATAAAGTATATCAAATTTTACCTTCTCATTATAAAAATATACCGTAGTCTTAAATTATATTCCTCGATTTTGATGTTATATTTGATTTTATTAGCTTGCAAAGACTTTCACCACTGAAACAATAATTTAGTCCGATTGAATAATCAATTTTGCTTATTATAAATCCTAATTTTATTGGATTGCGCCTTATATATTAGAAATTTTTATTGGATTTGTTCATTCATGTCACCCCTTCTGGAAGCACGGGATCTTTTTCTTCTGTATATAAATGTATGTAACATATAACGAGTTTTTTTCTTTTCTCTGCGACCGCGGTTTGATTCCAAATATTCCAAATAATACCTTTACATTTTTATTATATACCGTAAATATACCGATGAAAATCATTTTCCGTGATTTTGATATTCTGTTTAATATTACAAATTAATTGAGACCGTTAGCACTAAACGTGCAATTTTAGCCTATTGAGTAATCAATGTTTCACAAGAATGTCTAGTTTTCACGATTTCATTTTATTGCATTACTTACACAAATGCTGGAAATAAAAATGTCTACAAAGCAATGCAACAACCCAAAAAAGGGTAATACAATTAAAAACACACCCAAAAATACTTGAATTTTCTAATATTTTAAAAGTACTTTAGTAGACACCGGTATACCGTAAATATACCCTGAAGTTCGAAGGCAAAATATTTCGAAAGGTATTTAATACTTCGTAAACGGTCAATTTGTCAATTTCCTTTTTCTCAGTGCGGGGATAATTTGCGATTCAAATATGAGCAAAAAAAATCCCCGAAATATACGAAAATATTCCTTCTTGCGAATCACTTCCGTATAAGTCCAGGTATTAGATGGAATTCAAATATCCCCCCCCCCCAAAAGAGCCTGAAAGTATGCTTCACTTTTTATTTGCCCGGAACAACAACCCAGCAGCCTCCGTCTATCTTCTTCGAAAAGAATGCTGCTCCAGCTGGGCTTCCAATTAATTGGGATCAATGTTGGGACACTATACCGATTCAAAAATCTCTGCATCGAAGAGCTCCAAGAGACGCATGCGAGAACAGATAAAAACGGAGCTGCTGCTTTAGTTCAGCCAAAGTCGGCACAAGCATCCATTCGAACTCGAAACATCCACACAGGCTCAATTTCTGCTTCGCTTAATCTGCCCGCAAACTGGGTCGTTCATAAATAAACAATGAAAGTTGAAACAGTGACAGTGAAACAGAACTATGGAACAGCGAAAGTTCTACGGCAGTGTGACCAACGCATTTGATGTAACGCTGCCGTGGGCGTAAAACCTATCGAATAATTGGGCGCCAACACTCATCCATCGTGGAGTATACGGAATAATTATGGAAAATTTAAAGATATTAAAATCGTTTCGATTGGATTCTGTTAGCTTAAAAAAAAACACATGCTTTATACGTTCTTGGTTTGTAATTCCGTAGCTTAACGTACAGAGTTCTGCTAAAAGGTAAAAATCCTCAATTACTTCTGTCCCTATCCAGCATTCGCTCTTATTTTTTTAGTGGGTCTTGGCGGCCAGACGCTTGTCGCGCTCCTCCGAAATGCTCAGCTTGACACCCTTGCCCTTTGGCAGGGAGATGTAGGGCTTGCTACCCTTGCCAATGATGAACACGTTGGTCAAACGGGTGGCAAACACATGACCCTGCGAGTCCTTGATATGCACAATATCGAAGGATCCGGGATGACGCTCACGGTTGACAACGGTGCCAACACGTCCCAAATTCCTGCCTCCGGTGATCATGCACAGGTTGCCTGTTGAGCGAATGGAATGGAAATTTCTCATATTAGTTTTCAACGCATATACGCAGTGCTTGATCGAAATGTAATTGCACGAAAAGTTACTGAAACGGCTGTGGAATGCCCAGATCAGTGACCGTCGAAACAAAAATTGCTTTTGGCTTAGTATTTGAACCACGCAGCTTGGAAATTTGAGCGCTTTGTGGTCTTCGAACCAGCCAAGAAATAATTGTTGCTCAAGACATGCGTCTTACCCGAATCGAACTTGATGTAGTCGGTGATCTTGCCAGAGGCAATGTCAACCTGCACGGTGTCGTTGGCATGGATCAGGGGATCGGGGTAGCGGATGGTGCGCCCGTCGTGCGTGACCAGGAATGGAACACCCTTGGCTCCCAACTGATTCTTCTTGACCTTGCACAGCTTGTACTGCAAAAGAAGAACATGACATCGAACACTTAGTTACTTTCACTAGTAGATGGATTTCAATTGGAATGTAATTGCACGTAAAAGTTACTGAAATGGCTGTGGGATGCACAGGTCAGTGACCGTCGTAACAAAAATTGCTTTGGGCTTCATTTTGAACCAATGAACGTATGGCAAACGACATAAATCGGTCTTCGATAAAGCCAAACATCTTTCCACGAGTTGACAACTCACCTTGGCCTCCTCGGCGGAGATGCGGTGAATGGTGAAACGTCCCTTCACGTCGTAGACCAGACGGAAGAACTCACCGGTCTTCTCGAGGGTGATGACATCTACGAAAGTAGAGAAGAGACTTTTAGTAATTAGTTTGCGGAAATCCCCGGGTGGAACTTACCCATGAAGCCAGCTGGGTAGGTGGGATCGGTGCGAACCTTTCCGTCAACCTTGACCAGACGCTGCATGACGATCTTGGTCACCTCAGCACCGTTCAGGGCGTACTTGAGACGATTTCTCAAGAAGATCAGCAGGGGCAGCGACTCGCGCAGCTTGTGTGGGCCGGTCGAGGGACGTGGGGCGAAGGCTCCCCCAAGTTTGTCCAACATCCATGCCTTGGGTGCGGCTAAACGCTTCAAATGCTTCTTAGGGCCACGCGCCTGTAAAACAATTCCCACAAGTTAATACAGTGAAACTCAGTTTCATGGGCTTCTGCGGTGGGCAACCCAAACAAGATTCCATCCCACTGCAATTGTTTTGCTTGCACATCAGCTGCCAGCGGTGCTTACCATGTTTTATGATCAAATTCAGTACGGGCGGTCACTGAAATTAGATGAATGAAACGTTTAGTTAGAGATCTCTCTGTGTACACTTTAAATGTCGGCTTGAATGTTGAGCCGCTAAAAGCCGCCACAGCACACACGATTCCCTCGGCTTATATTTCTGCATACTATCACTTTCAATTGGGGTGGCCCGTTGGCTGCCCAGTTTATTTGTCATTGTACAATAATAAACAGTGATGGCCGAATTATAGGCGAATTAATTTTTACACGTACCGTCCGTCTTGCAATACAACAGGAAAAGGAAGTTAGGGATGTGAGAGATGCTAATATATCAATCTATCGATATATAGTTTTTGTTGACAATATATTTGCAGCTGATATATTTGTTGTTTCTTGTCGTATATATGGATACGGGTGCTTTTGTATGCATCGTGATTATCAGTGGAAGCTATTTTCAGTATTCGAAGCACACTTAAACTATTTATCTTTTGTTTCACGACTTTTAATCATAAATATCTTATATGGCAGCGATTTTGTACTCCTCCTATCGATGCACAGGGTAGCCCTCCAAATATCGGTACTTTCGTGCGATAAGCATGACTTATCGGGGTAACAGGGTTGCTTTAATCTTATTCGAGAATGTATTTATTCGAAAATTCAGCAAAAGTTCCTGTACTAATTTTACAATTGTGTTTATTTCTCAATAGTGAATGCTCTTTCAAACAGACTTTTCTTGTTTCATGCATTAGTAATTACATTTTGTAAAACCTACTTATAAATTAAACTGTGGCAACATTACAAATTGCCGAATGGATCTTTTCTTTTCTTAACTTTCTTTTATAAAACCACTTGGGGGCTATATATCAATTATAGATTATTATTTTCTTGTTTTTTGTTTTGTTTGTACATAATACAAATTGTATTCATTTGCTTAATGTTCGCGTGGATTTATAGTAGCTATTCTGTGTTTTTTGTTTTAGGCAAAGAACTTAAAGGTATGAAATACATTTTAAGAAATACAATGTATACAATCAATGAATGTTTAGTTAGTGTAAATGTAAATGTAGGTTCCTTTTTATATAATTTTAATGGCTACGTACGTCTGTCTGTTCAGTGTGTGAGTGTGTGTGGGGGCTAAGGAGTCTTTCAACTGTGTGAGTGCGCGTGTGCATGTTGTGTGTGATTGGGTGCATCCAGGAGTCTGGCGTCTGTATGTCTCTGGGTATGGGCAATCATTTTCGTTTAGTCTGTGTGTTCAGTCCAACTTTTTCATAGATTTCAATGCGCGCTCTCGCAATTGTTTCTCCAGATCTTCGTTGATGCCCCCCGGGCCGGTGCCGCCGGCGAGCAGCAGCGGCAGCTTCCCATTGCGCTTTGGCGCCAGTCCCGACTGCTCCTCCTCGTCGCTGCTGCCCTGGGAGCTGCTGTCCGGGCGATTCTTTCCGCCGCTGCTCTTCCTCTTATGCTTCTTGTGTTTTTTGCTCTTCTTGCTGTGTTTTTTGTGTTTCTTATGCTTCTTTTTCTTGGACGAGTCCTCAGAGTCGCTGTCTGATGTGTCCGCCGCCTTCTTGGACTTCTTGCGCTTCTTCTTGGGCACATTCTCCTCCTCAGAATCGCTGACATTGCCGCCCTCCTCTCGTCGTGGTTTCTTATGACTACGCTTGCGGCTGCTTCCTGGTCTTGCCGCCTCCACCTCGACGCCTGTGGATTCCTCTGCACTGGAGGTGGGCCGCTTGAGCTTCTTGTCCGAGCGACGTTTGTCCACCTTGACGGCCGCCGCTTTCTGTTGCTGCTGCTGGTGCTTCTTCTTCTTTAACTTATCGTCGGCGCTCGAGTTGTCATCATCGCTCTGGTCGCTGCTGCTGGAGCTGTCCGAGCTGCGTTGCGACTTCGACTTTGACTGTGACTTGGCCACCTCCACGGCAGCTGGCAGCTTCTTTTGGTGGGCCTTTCGGCGCGCTGGCTGATCGTCACTGTCATCGCTGTCGGCGCTGCTGTCGGAGCTGCTGCTTTGACTTTTGCGGGATTTCTTTGGAACAGCCTTGGATACGGAGACGGAGGCGACAGCGGCTGATGCAGCGGCGGCCGATCGCTCGTGCGGTTTAAGGAACGGTGATGGAGTGCGGGACAGGCTGGCATAACTGCTGCGACGTGCTGTTGCTGGTGCTGCCGCTGCTGGCTGCTCGACGGCCTTGATGGTCTCCGGGTTGGATTTGCGTTGCTGGTGTTGCTGCTCTTCGCGACAGAGATCTATAGTGTTGACGGCCGGGCCGCTAAACTCCACCGAAGAACGCTCTGTGGAGAACCCATGACTATGTTTTATTCCATTCCCAAATGAAGCAAAATTGTGAGGGGACTTACCAGCAACAGGACTGTCTCGCTTACGGCTCGGTCGCGGACTGGAGCGGCTGCGACTTCTAACATGACTGCGACTCCTCTCATGGCTGAGACTACGACTGCGGCCTCGCCTCTCAGCGGGACTGGCACTGCGCTGTCGCGGCTGTCTTCCGGCCGGCTCGGCAGAGCTCTCCGACGTGGATCGTCGATGCCTGGCCGGCGGCGGATTGTCCCATCGATTGACATGGCCACCCGGTGAGCTGCGGCGTTCCCGAGAATTCGGGCGACGATCGCGCGAGTTGCGGCGCTGCGGCGAGGAAAACCGTCGCCCCGGCCCAGAATGGGGTGAAAACTTCCTGAACGGCTGTCCCTGTGAGTCCGATGGGCGATGATCGCGGGCATAGCGATTCTGGTGCGGGGACGGGCGACGATCAAAACGTCCCATGCCGCCGCCACCTCGTCCACCACCGCCTCCGCCTGGGCTGTACCTCGCCTGCCAGTGGATGCGATTGCCTCCGCCTCCACGCATGTTGGGTGAAGCGCCGCGATGCTGCCACATCTGGCGATGACCACCACCACCAGCACCACCTCCCCCGCGTCCACCACCACCACCACCACCACCACGACCTCCTCCTCCGCCTCCCCCACGATAGTGCATCATGGGCGAACGACGGCGATTGTTAAACCTGCGAGGACATAACGAGAAAGAAACGGAAACCATTTTTGATTAAATTAATTAGATACTGTCTGATTTCAACTGACTTTTAGCTGCAGTTTTGACACTTACCTTCTGGGCGACCGAGAGTATCGCATGGGAGAGCGGGAGAGTCTACGGGAACGTGAGCGACGCCTCGAATTGGAGCGCTGGAAACGTCCACCGCCTCCACCATTATCCTGACGCATGGGACTGCGATTACCGCCGCGTGGCGAAAAGCGCCTGCCCCGTCGGCCGCCTCCACCTCCGCCGCCACCAAACTGACGTCCACGATCGTTGCCGCGCTCCATGGAGCTGGCCGAGTCGCCGCGATTATTGCGATACTGACGTTTGTTCTGGACACTGTTCTTGTTGCGACGATGCTCGAACTGATCCTGATTGCGCTCGGGGGACAGGGAAATGCTGCTGGAGCGGCCACGTCGTCGGCTTCGTGGCGAGGAGCTGCGAGAGCGGGTACGCTTGCCGCTGGATCTAGAGCGGCTGCGAGGGGAACGGGATCTGGAGCGTGAGCGGGACTTTTTGCCCTTGGGCTTTACAGGGGACTTGTCCCCCGCCGAGTGACGTCCATTGACGGCCTTGGCTGGTGGTGGGTCAGAGGAGGCTGCCTTTTTGGCAGACGCTCGCGAGCCAGAGCGCGACTTCTGGCGAGAGCGAGAACGTGGCCGGCGGCTGTTTCGCCGCTCCCTCGAGGCAGGACGGGCGGCCGAGGGGGAGCCGCCGCGTTTGCGAATCCGAGCCGCTGCATTGGCGGCCGCCTCACGGGCTGCACTGGGCACCGAGCCATTGTTGGCTGGCTTCGCAGAGCGCGAACGGGAGCGGGACTTGGATTTGCCACCATTTGGAGATCGATCCCGCGGACGGTCACGCCGAGAATTGCCGCGCGCGGAGCGGGAACGTGAGCGGGATCGGTCGCGCTGCCGCTGCTGTAGCTCCTCCTCGCGCTTGAGTATCTCATCCTTCTTTTGCTGTATGAACTCAGCGGGGATGCCAGAGTCACTGTCCTGGGCCGAGAGCAGCAGCGCCCACAGCTCGCCCATGAACTGGCGGGCATTCTTCCCGTTGAGGAAGCCGGTCATATTTATTTGCATTTTCTTGGGACACGGATACTTCTCCTCCTCCAGCTGGTTGTACACAAACTCCACCACAACATCGTCCTCTATGTTGAGGATATCGGTGATTTTCTTGCTAATCCACGGCCTCAGCACGTCCAGCTTCACCTTGGACATGTCCACCCGCTTGCTCAGGCAGTCGCCGAACTTCATTTGTTTCATCAGCTTCTTCTCCTTGTCGCTGAACCGAGTGTCCTGCTGCTGGTTGGTGCCCTAAACGAGGTAAAGGGCGTTCCAAAAAAGGCTCTTATCGATTGCGTTCGGAGCGTCGCACTCACACCATCACACTTACCGTGAACATCATTCCTAGGCTGTGTTTCTGCTGTGTTTTCGGGGTTTTATTTAAACTACCGCCAATTTGTGGCCCTTCTACTGCGTGAACATTTGTTTTGGCAGGCCCACGAGAAAAATTCAATAAAAATATGTAACCCGGCACCACGCAAGACAATTGTCTATACACACGCACACATGCAGCGTCGTTTTCGGTGTGCTGTGTGCGCGCAACTGTGTGTGTGTGTGTGTGTTCGTTTAAGGATGGCCGGGGGATGCCTTGCGCTTAATTGCGTTTGATGCAAAACTAAAGCGTCGAAAACCCTGTGCTCTTCGTTATTGGCCAATTACACACCTCGCGATTACTTATAAATACGTTTTACTTGTTTTCTTCGTGTATTTTTTTTTCGCGAAATAAAATATATGCGTGCACTCCGCGAAATTATCGATAAAATATATCGTCAGGGCCTCGGTAATATACCAAAATATACCATTGCATCTTCAAAATATACCGTAAATATACCGTAGTCCCAAATCATATTCCTCGATGCTGAAGGTCTATTTGATATTACTAGCTTGCAAAGATTTTTAACGCTGAAACAATAGTTTAGTTCGATTAAAGAATCAATTTTCTTTATTATAAATACTCCGTTTTATTGGATTGGTTTACCCTATGACCTCATATTTTAAAAGTTTGTATTTGAATTTGTATGGCCAGGGAAATTATCTAATGTGCATAAACGGTCAGGGAAATTCTTTCCTGCGTCTAAACGGTCTGCGCCAGTGGTGGCAGTGGTGGCAGTGGCAGCAAACTGCGATTGTCTGCAATGTATCAATTAATCGAAACTGGCAGTCTGGTCTCCGATAGACGAGAGTCGATCCATTGCATTAAAGAGCTGAAAGCGAGCGATTTATGATTTTTGTGGATAAAACAACAGAAAAATTAAAGATTTGACAATAGATCAGAATGGGAAACATCGGATTCTCACATTTAGAGTCGCGTCATCGAAAATTTAAGTTTAAATATATCAGGCTTACATTTATACCACATAAATATCCATGTTTATATTCACATTTCGAAACGAATGCTTTTTATTTAGGGGCTCTAATAAATACAAACTATAAACGCATGAATGCATTAATTTAATGTTGTTTAAATGTAAACTTAAGAATAGCATTTGATTATTTTTCGAGCAAAATTCGCATTTCAATTTTATACAGCTGAGAGTGTTGAGAAGAAATAGATGGATAGGGACAGGATGGACAGGAGATTGGAAAAAAATTAAATAACATTTGCAAAATTGATTTCGCTACAAAAAATAATTCCTCGTTTAAGTACATTTTAATTTAGTCAGCCAGCCGCTGCTCAGCTTTGACCCAAAACTCGCTCAGTTCTTTTGGTTGCTGTTTGTGTTCCTAGTGGGTGTGTGGGTGTGGGTGGGTAGTGCTCGCCGAGTGCTCGCCTACGGTATCATGTTGGGCTCCTGGGCGGCGCCCGTCGAGTACTTGGGCTTGCACACGCATCCGCTCTCCACGAGCACATAGTCCTGGCCGGTTAGCGTCACAGGACCCAGGGGGATGACCAGGAACAGGTAGGGCACATAGGTTTGCGTACACTCGCCGCGAACCACATCACATTCAGAGGATCTGCATTTGATATGGGAGGGAGGTTAGAGCTGCATATCGGTGGTCGAGATGGCTGGGAACAGCACTACTCACTCGCACACTTCGAAGACGACTTGCTGCAGGAGATCGGGGAACTTCTGAACTATGGTGACCGGCTGGCCAGAAGTCAAACTGACGCCATACATGGGTGCCGTGGTGTTGTAGCGCGTCTTGCATAGACGCGCCGGTGTATCGCTCTTGCACTGATGCGCCGGCGAGGCATTCTTCAGGGAACGACCTGCGTAAAGACAAAAGACAATCCGACAATCAGACAATCAGTCTCTCAATCAATCACATCAGATGTGCGGTCAATCAATTGCGGCCACGCCGCACCGCACTGTCATTAGCTTGACCGACTTACCATAACGATTGCTTCCGATAGCCTCATTGTTTACCTCATCGTAGGCCCTCAAGAGTGCACTCGTGGTCACTGCGGGATCCAGAGTGGCGGGCAATTTGCTCTGGCGTCCACGACGCGAATTTCCGTTCCAGTTGGAGAATGTGCGCGCAACGGCCGCACTGCAAATGCAAATGATAAATGGTAAATGGTAAAGGAGGGGAACAGTCGTAGCCGTCGATAAGGCGTTAGAAAAGAAAGTTTTCGTTGTCCAATGCTGTGATCGGGCCAATTTGATCACCGTTAAGTGACTCACTCACCTGGGATATGGCGCATTGTTTGGGCCCAGACAGTCTAGCGAGTCCGTGAGCGCATCGCCGGATAAATATTTCAGTCCACGCCCTCCGGCACATCTGCTTGTGGGCGCATCGTCGCTGCTGCTGTAGCTGGGCCATAACGCCGCATTGGTGCATGTGAGTGCAATACTGATGACGCAGAGTGCCGTTAGCTGCTGCAAATACATAAGTTATCGATAGGTTAGACATTAGACCTCTGCGCATAACGGCATGCCAATGGCATTGGCATTGGCATTGGCATTGCTGTGTCATGCAAAAGCACAGCCCAACCGGGTTCTGGGGGTCTCCGGTCTGTGGTCTCTGGTTTGTTGTACAACTCTGCTGGAGTAGAGGTGTTGTAACATGTTTTATGTGTTTGTCGTTGAACCCACGACCCTGACCATGGCAAGCTTCTGACTCTTGGGGGGAACTTTTTCAGAGTTCCAAGAACGTGGAGTGGCGTACTCCAGACCGAAAGCCAGTTATAGGAGTTTCTTGACTGCTCTGAGCCCTGATGAAAAGTTTCTATTTTCACATACTTGACCCGCTTAGACTCGAAATCCATAAACAAATTAATTAAGCTCATAAATAACCATCCCATCCGAAACCACAACCTGCCATCGCCCCCGTCCGTACCCGTACGTCCGTACGTGAAAGTAAAAACAAAAGAAGAAATTCAAATTGGACAGCTGCCACGAGGGAGGGCAAGGCAAGACAAGACAAGAAGAAATGTTAATACATTTTTCAACCGCATGTAAAGCTGACTTCTAATATGGTCTGAACTTTTGATTGCCTCTTGCCGCCTCTTCTTGCAGTATAGTATTTTTATTATTTTTATATGCCCGCTCGCTGTGTTTTCTTTCACTTTCTCTGTGCAGATTTTTTTCGCTGATCAAGTGGCAGGCAGACAGCAGCCCAGTCAGAGTAGAGCCGAAAACCAGTTTCGATTGAATTAAAATTGCAGCACAAAAATTTGCCATGCCATTTTTCTCTCTCTCTCTCTCTCGTGCTGAGAAAATCGCTGCACGTACGACATGCTCATGATGCGCAGAAATAATCGGACGGGACATCAGGCCTTTGTCCGATTGTCGATGATGGAAAATACCGTAAATACTCGATGCCATTTTAATTGATATAAACATTTATTTATTTTCCTTTCAGTTATGACTAACGTGTTGTAGGGTATTGTTTTGTTTGCTGGTGGACTGGTGTGGGATCGGATGGTTTGTTCGCACATTTTGTAACCAAACTTTCTTTTCAGTTCACAAAAACATTTGACAAAAAAATAAAAAACGAAATGTTTGTGGGGCCATAATGGTCATTGCGTGTTGGTTGGTTTGCTGGTGGGAAAATAAAATGAAAGCGAAATTCTATTATTTAATTCTTTTCACATTCATTACAAGAAATTAATGAACTTGCTTCTTGCCGTCGCCCGGAGAGGAGGGGTAGACAGGGAGTTGGTGGGACAGGGAGAGAGAGAGAGAGAGAGACACACTCTCCACTCTCACCGCATGTAGACCTGAACCCGAGCCGAGTGTCGTGTCTGTCTGCATTTGGTCTTTTGTCCAAATTCTGTTGTGCCGTAGTTGTCGTTGGCTCATTAAACGCGCTTTTCTTGCCCATTGTCATTTGGTCGGACGATCGGTCGGACAGTCGGTCCGTCTGACTTTCCGTTTTGATGGGACCCGACCAGCAATTTCGTTTAATAAATGCTTGAGAGGGTCCCGTCCCCTCTCTTAATTCGACATTAAAGCAAATGTACCACCGGGTAGAAAGACCAAGACCAAGCCATTGCCATTTGAACCTGTCACAAGATGAATGTACGAAGTATTTTTACTTGGTAATTGCCATCTTGATTGGGTCTGGTCGCTCTCGACGAGCCCTCCCTCCTAATGAGGCAACTTTCTTAAGTAGCCGTTGTCTTCGGGGGTTCGTTCAAGTGATTGCCGGCCGCGTGACAGTACCAAACCAAATATAATAACAAATAAATGCAAATAATATAAGAGCCGAGCTGGGCTGCTTTTTAAAAATCAGCAAATCATTCATTAATCAAAAATCCATTGACCATTGACGATGCTTCGGCGACAATTTGAGTGTGTGCCCCGTCATTAGGCGGCTGCTTACATAACGCTCATACACGGCAGTCAGGCAGGCAGGCCGGGAGGTGGAGGAGGAGGAGGAGAAGCAGGAGGACAAGTGGAGGAAAGAGACTTGCACTAAATGTGCGGCTATTGTCGAAGGCTAGAAAGAATCAGATTCCAGCCTGAGAGGCATGGCAAAAAAAGAGAGGCAAAGCGACGGCGAGCAAAACTGTCAAGAGCAGCGCCGCTCCGCTCCGCTGTTCGTGTATCACAGGTGCCGTTATAACGAGGTTAACGACCCACATCTCCATCTCTCTCTTCGTCTCAGGCGTTTCTCAAGTCGCTCTCTGAGGTGGTTCTGGCTCTCTCTTTCTAACACACACCCAAGCAGCCATGGAGCATGTTTCGAGGCGCATAAACAAACATTGGACTTTGGTAATAAATGAAAATTAAACTCCACAATATTATTGGACCACTCACCACAAGTGAAAATTGGTTTGGTTTGGTTTGGTTTTTTGGGAAAGCACACACCACCACCGGCAAGGCAATGTCGACAGATTTATTGACAGCTTTACAAATAGCCAGAAGACAGAAAGACAAACTGCGACTTTGACTGTGACTGTGACTGTGAGATCGTTGCACGCAATGAGGCGACTTGGAACTGGTTTATTGATAAGCGTAGCCTACAGCCTCCGGTGTCGGGTGTTGTCGGGTCTCCCCTCTCGTGTGCACTGCCCCCTCCTGCTCTGGTGGTTGTCGTCTGGCCAGTTCCACATTCTCTCAATGGATGTCAGTGATAATGTATTGTGATTGAAACGAATTGAGAGAGAATTGTTGGCTCTGCTTGACTGACACAATTTCCCAAAGGCCTTTGTTGTGATTGTGGAGCAGTTGGTCAGGAAAAGTTGATGAAAAGCTTGGCCAATCCAATCGCACACAAAACAGGACCACACCACACCACATTGCCGGGCATTGGCATTGGAATCCCTCCCTGTGGAACATGTTATCGATCGAGATCGATTGTGA